AAAACACCTTATAATTAGGATTGTTTAAAACCCCGAAAGCTAGTTTTCTTTGGGTATAAGCTTTGAAGAGTACTCGGTTAAACATGAAATGAAGGCAAGCAAGGGCGTTTTTTAAGCATGTTCTCTATAAAGTATGCTTGAACTTATAATGGCGTAAAAATCGATAGCAAAATATATACTATTTAAGAAAGCATTTTTACCTAATGCAAACATTTCAGATGCGTTCAAAAGCTTGCATCGCGGTGTGTCTGAAGTACCATGGGATGAATGGTAGAACGCTCACTGCTCTGGATAAGGAACATACTTGTCCCGTTCTGCCTTGGAGCTCAATGACCAAATATCATGGATTCGCCAGCGATCGAGTCGTATTCTTCTCTATCACGGGTTCGAATATCGGGGGTCGCCACCTCTGGGACTGGGTTTGACTGGCGGATGACGGCTGGCAAGCCAGAACTGGCCGTTCCGGTCTCGCTTGTCCTTGTTGGTTCCACTTCATCATATTCTGAATAATCGAAAATCTGCGAGGCCCAGGTAATTGAATAGAAGGCACGCAGACGGTCTCTGGGACCAGTAATGTATTTGCCCGACGTTTCGGACTCTCACTCGAGGCAATTGTCAAGGAATGAAAACGTACAGCTCTTTGCGTGATTAAGTCAGCTCTGCCGTGGGTGACCTTGAGTTCCCATTGCTTGCTCCGCCGCGAGTGACCTTGAGCCCTGACATTGCTCGCGCAACGCTAGATGGGCATCTGGGAGATCGATATGACTATTAACAGAGGCCGTGTGCAAGTGCCATGCCTCCTGCAAGAGGCGTGAGATTCGGTCGTCCGACTCATCCAGTATTCGCACGTGTTCGAAATCGAAGCCGTGCCCTGGCATGGATGCGTGAGCGGCTACCAAAGCAAGCCAAGGCACGGCTTCGATTTCGAACACGTGCGAATACTGGATAAGTGCATGTTTCGCAATCTCATCGGTGAGCGCCCTACCATTCATCCTATTCCCGATCTTAACCGACAAAGCAGCGAACCCATAGTGCAGTGGTAGAGTGTTGCTCTCAATGACCAAAGGTCCCGCGTTCGAATCCCGCGTGATCCACATCTGGGGATTAGTTGACTAGCTGATGACGGTTAATAAGCCATAAATGACCATCCTAATTTCCTCCCCTCCTCCTGTTAACTCCCTCAAGCAGGCACAATAGAACCCCAGTTAACGTGTTTAATCCATTGCAGCACCGAGGTCGTCATGTGAAACTCTCGTCTTGCGAAACGCAGCCAATCAAACTGCATCGGTTCAATTATAAGCTGCAAGTGACCGAGAACCGACGCCCTGGGAACAAGCCTTAACGACGGACACAGGCACGCACATACGCACTAACAACTCGTTAACTCAGCGGAAGCTCGTCAAGCGAAACAAATTCGCTGCGAGTGGCCCGTTCGTTATCTGAAATACTCGTATATGGAGCTGCTCGTCACCCGAAGCTCCACTGTACTAGGTTATACCATGTTTCCCGAATCCAATAACCTTTCTCATCCTCACTACTCATTGCTACTTACCCCTC